CAGCGAAAAGTTTGTTCCCTTCAATGAACTGAATGATAGCATCACGAATTATTCTTTCTAGTAGTTTAACAACAATACTGGTCAAACTAATAGGACGATAGTTCTGAACTAAGTTTCTAGATCCGGTTTTGAAGACCAGACTAATGATGGCATCTTTCCAGTCTCTTGGACATTTAGACTGGTCCAGAGACATATTGAAGATTACCAACAATGGTTCGGCTATGTTTTCAGCCATTGCTGTTAATATACGTGGGTGGAGTTCGTCAGGGCCACTGGACTTACCGGGATTGAGCCTTAGAAGCCACTTTAGGACAGTATCCTTTCCAATGTATAAGGGTGCCATTTTCAAGTTACCTTCTGGAAAAGTTACAAAGCTGGTATCCATATTATCAGAGAATACTTGACTAAAGTGCTTGGACGAAGCCTCAGCCTTAGTCAAGTTATCCTCAGCCATGTTTGTCTGGTCATCTTCAAGCATAAGAGGTGGGATAGCATCACTCTTACGTGTTCTTCTCTTGGTATGTGAGAAGAGTCTTTTTGGGCAGCCTGGTGAACTTTTAACTAACTGGGTTTCGTAAGCTATCCTTGACTGGTGAATCAAAGTTTTACACTGGTTTCTGGTTTCACAGTATTTCAGCCGGAACTGCTGTATTAGCGCAGTAGAAACAAAGAGATTCCAGAACCTTTTTCTCCGTCTTAGGAGTGTTATAGCTTGTCTATTTATCCATGGTGGCCGATTTGTTGGCCTTTTAGGAACCCTCCAGGGAATGAAATCAGTGGTAACCCTCTCAAGTGTATTCTTAAATCTATCCCATTCATCTTCAATGGATGAGACCATATTGACTGACCAGTCGGCAGTTGAAGCACGCTCCTTTATAGAGACTATGTCAGCATGCCAAACAATAGGTCGGGATTTGGGTTGAAATCTGACTAAATTGCCAGCCCCTAAGTTAAAATCTGACACTCCATGATCACTGTTTGCTAGAGGTGGATGAATAACTAGACCATCCACGTCGTCGTTGTGTTGAGTAAGCACTAAGTCCAGCAAGGAAGATGCTTGGGTAGAACCGAATCTTGTACTACCTAAGACATGTTGTGTCAGGGCATTTTCCATGGTAGTCAAGAGTAACCGGCTGTCAAACTTATTAGCGGATCCTGGAGATGTGACAGCTACCCAGTCTATATGAGGTGCATTAAAAGCACCTAGAACAAGACAGCTACTATGTTTACTCCATTGTTTGAGGTGATCTAAAATAAAGTCATCACACTGACAATAGGGACTTCTATACAGAACTCCAATGAGTAGAGTGCCAGTTGCAAAGCTTACTTCACAGCTAATTACCTCACTTGTCCCACTGTCATGCGCTTCAGATTTAACGGAACGAACATGTAGGGAGTTGTTGATGTACAGAGCAACCCCGCCACCTCCACGACCCTTAACTCTGTCACTGCGCAAGCAACCAAATCCGCATAGCTCAGGTGTGTCATCTAATCCAGAAACCAACCATGTTTCGGTAATGGCCACAATACCTGGGCTAAGGTATTCCACTAACACACCTAGCTCGTGAAATTTGTTCCCGATACTACGTATATTAGTGTACACTACCTTCAAGCTTCCTATGGGGTCTGGCTTATCCACACAGGTCTTGGAAGCATACGTTTCCAAGACCTGACTATTTGAATACCCACCAGTTTAAGGTTAGTCTTACCATTTTTACGTCTTGTTTCTAGCTGGGACAAAACTTCTTTTCATTTAAGTCTGTCTTCAAGAGATAAATCAGGTCTGAATGAAATTCCTGACCCGGCAAGGTTGTTTACATTAGCCAGTAGATGATTCCGTTTATCAGAAGAACCTAAGACTATCTTAAGCAGCCTACGCTGATTAGAACATTCATCATCTCTTTTGCCTATTCTAATCAGCTTTTTAATCAATACTCCGGGGAAATTCGCTGGGAGCATCTTCCTTATAATACTACTCACTAATTTAAGGCCATGATCGTGCCTTTTCACGGGATCAGATTCTTTGGACTCTTCTAAATTTCCAACAATTCTGTTAGAGTCTAAGGAGAGCTTGTTGTGTTTAGCAGTGGCTACGTCTTTTCTCACCAGTATTGATGCAGCCTGGCTACAGGTGACAGACGTTTGCCTACCATCAATATTACTGTATTTCTTCCGATTGCTTATTTTTGTTACCCACTTATCATCTGCCTGCAGCTGCTTCTCAGGGCTGCTGCAGTTTTTGATGGTACAATCAAGATCAGTGTCTGCACCACCTTCATGGTGAACTTCGCTTACAGTGTTCTCTGGTGCTGAGATGCTGTTTACAGCTTCCGTTTTGTTACCTTTTCGCTTACTAAGACACTTCGAACGCCTAGTAGGTTTTACTTCGGGGGTAACTGGGATAGTAACCGCTGGTGTGGTAACATTCATGATGGCACTTACTACGTCATCTTCAGACGGGCAGTCCGTGTCACTCTTACTAGCCTCGCTATCATCAGGAAGTTCCATGGCTTTAGACAGTAGTTCGTGAGCCTCACTTATTAAAGTCATCTTTGGGGAGCAACACATTCTGCACATCCAGTGGGATGTTGGAGCACTACAACGTTTGTATGCAGCTGGACGTAATCCAGTACACATCTTATGATACCACTTTTTACAGTTATTACACTGTATTCCATCATCTACCAAATAGTAACACTCCGCCCCATTACATTTATGTGGTACTTTTGACATAATGAAGTTCTACTGGAAACAGCCAAGACAATTTACCCAATATAGACTATATAAGTGGTTAAAATCAAAACTTAACAGACAAAAGTCAAGTTAAAGATTTAAAAAATGTTCTTGAAGTGAATAACACAACAAAAACAGCGATTTGTCAAATACGTGAAAATACGTGATAATAGCACTCCCTTTTCCAAACAGTGTTCCATTTCGTTGGCGAGCATTCTACCGCTGTACCACCGACGCACATATTATCACTATTATTTTACCTTATTCAACTGACCTCTTGCTATGTTGGTTTTCTGGAGAATTCATCCATCTACTTCTCCTGTTTATCATTATGCTGAATATTATGGATTGTGAAGCAAACTACTGCTAACTCCTACAAATTCTCTGACGTCAATTTATGTGATTATTTTTACCTCACCGATACCTTAGGCCCTTTATTTCATATTAACCTATAAATCACCATGCAGTTTTAATACATTATTTTCAAAACACTTTATATATATATATATATATATATATATGAAGGAGCACACAAACCGAAACCTGACACCGTTGAAAAGAAACCAGTTTTCATCTGCCTAGCGTACAAAGGGGAAGACGTAGCCACAAGAAGACAAAAAAGAATCACAGGTGCACTAAAAAGAACATTTCCAGCCGCCAGACCGATCCTATTTCACAACACTGTGTGCTCGTTAACCCAGTCAAAAGTAGATGAGTACCCTATTCACTTCAGCTACAACTGCATTTACCAATTCACGTGCACTTGCGGAAGCAAGTACATAGGAAGGACTGAGAGGACAGCATCTAATAGATTTTCTGAGCACATTCATAAGAGTCTCCATACAAAAGGAAGAAAAGTGTTATCGAGTGCAATCGCCAGACATTCAATTAATACAGGACACACAGTAGAAATTAGCCAAGCCTTCAAAATAATCAATACACAAAGAAACCCATGGCTACTTCACTTCGCAGAAGCCATTGCTATCAAGAGATTTCGACCAGACTTCTGTATACAGAAAGATAGCGTGATTAATCTTTCACTACCTTGGTAACCCTAACTCCATTTGATTTTGGTTTCGTTTTATTTTTGTTTTGCTCTTCTTTCAGCATGCCTGTGTGTTTGTCTTGTTACGTAACATTCTATTCAATTTTGACATTCAAGTTTCTAAATCTACCTAATTGTTTGTCTGTTTAAGTTAAAAATGTTACTTCACTATTCACCGCCACCCTCTTAAACTCTCCACCACAAGATGTGTAAATTCACTCTGTTCTCTGATCCTGACCCTGTAATATGCCTCTAACCAATCTGTGTTTTCCAATAGAAATCTGAACTCTTACTCCTCTTATTTAATTCCACTATATATAATTAGTTGTTTTTTGACATCGAATAATCTGTCCACCTACATCAAATTCTGGAATTATATTCCTTATGCCTTCTATCTATAACTCCAAGTTCCACAACTTTTTTGAAACTTATAATTTGATTTTGTTTAGGATGTATGCACTTGATGAGTATCCACGAAATAAAACGAGCTCGTATTATTCTGCAAACATGTTCTTTCTGTCTCTCTTCAAAGATTTGACTTCATTTTGCATATTCTATTTAGAAATGACAATTTCCGCAGTGAATCGCAAAAGAAGAATCTTGATTTCATATAATGAACGGGTTAAGACACTAGCAGTGGTAGTATCATTATATTCTTATTTGACTCCTTCCCAAGGGTTATATTCACTTTATAGTATCTTTTGAAGAAACACATGTAATTTTGCAAATCAGGAGGAATTACACCACGACAGTACTGCACACTACTGATTAGCTCAGGTGAGTAGTTGGATGCCACCTACATCAAACAGTATTGTCTGTTTGCCAAATCGCTCGTTTGCAGCAGATCTCATCACCACAACATTCACTTTCACTCTTCTCAGAGAGTTAAATCAGTTGAAATCACTCTAATTCTGGTCACCTGGTTCGGTGGATTTCTAATATACTGAGGAGGACTCATTATTTTCAAATGAATTTCCACCTCAAAATGTGAACAATAAAACTCGCGAATTTATTGACAAAGCGTGATGTTCATTCTAAACAATGTCAAAGCAAATTTTTGATAGCCGGTGACACGAGATTGGGTTGCAACAGTAGCTATTTACCAACGAAATCATCAAAAAACACTCAGAATGACCTTCTCAGAGATGGAATCGGTGATCCATACAATTCTGTATTTATTATGGTCTTTTTCTAAGTGGACACATATTTACGTGACAATAAAATGACCTTGATATTCTATCTTCAAAGGTACAGAATATGGTATTATCGGCGAAAATTATTTTGATTAACAAAAGATACTGATTTCCACGATACTCATTGATAATGTCAACAACATTTGTAGCTAAATATCTTCGTGTTGAAAATCACATCATATGATACTGAATGACAGTGTGCGTCAGTCACGAATTCAGATAACTCACTTAAACTGGAAAAGTATAAAAATGCAGAGAGAGTAAGTAGATACCATTTGTCAAACTAAACGCACAAAATGAAAATGATTGTTTCCAGAATGTTGATGATTGTGATTCTCTCTTCACTGATAGTGAACTCAATAGCTCAATCAAGTGAGTGAAGATTTTATTTCATATTCATCGTCATTGTATAAACTGGACACCGAAATATTAGTATTCTTGAGATGTCGTGATATGTTCGTCAAGTGAGATATTGGGTAATAATGACACCAGTATGAATGACTGAGCCTCACTTCCTTGATACTCAAATGGATGTTGGTAGTGTTGTCTGTGATTTAGTGTAAATGTGAGGTTTACAGTTCAATTCTTGTCGTGTAGGTTTTGCTCCATCATTTCTAACCTGAACTGACGTTACCAACGAAAGTTAGTAACAAGAGGAGATTCAAAGGCGAGCAAGCATCCAGACGTTGCCAATTGTGCATTGTGACTGTTGGAGAACTACGGGATGATGATGACGGGGATTGTGAAGTGCGTAACATGAGTGAATAACTAAATCTAGCCATTTTTGAGGATTAATGGTGATCCCAGATTACGAGCATGTAGGATGTATAGGTGTACGAATGATTATTGGTCACACTTGAACCGTGTGCATTGACGTGTATGAGGTAATATGTCTTATCCTTATCGACTGATGTTTGCTTCTCGATTACACATGCATATTTTGAAAGCAAACACAACCGCTTAATATTTAGACAGATGACATGAATTCATTAAAAGGAAAACTTTTTTAATGTATAGTTGTCGAATGAAAATTGCTTTCTTATTGACAAAACTTCTATAAACGAATTTAAATTGAAAGGTAAATTAAGTTTTATTAGATTGTAAAACGAACGACACATTTTTGAATTTTCTATTCCATTTCAGGGAGAACTTTCGACTGCTATCATTGCAGACATTGTAGAAAAGTGGATAAACATACTCCAACAGAACCTAAATGTGGAGGTTGTGTTGTAAGATAAAAATATTACTATTTATGACTATTTCACAGAAACAATTATAGAGTTTACTTTTTTATATATTGTTACTCATGCTACGAGTATAATACGTATAGAACAATATTATACAACCTTCATTCCTGAGATTTTCCCTTTAAGAATTCCACCAGTTTCTACCTATATTTTGACAAGTTTTAAATGATAATGTTCCAGAAAGGAACATACCGTTTCTCAGTGTTGTCGATGCGTCTTGTTGATAAAAATCAGCTGTCATTTTAGGGGTTTCAAATTGTTTCTTCAAAAGGTCAATTATTAATTCTAATATAATATTATGACCTCTTACTATGCTTAACCATATTGTATCATGTAATTGATTATTTAAATTTTACGTCTCAAGAATATAAATAAATTAAAACTGAGTATAAATGGTCACATAAAATGTCGGTATCCAGTGAATGATCCCCAGAAAAGTGATTCTAGTAAGACATTTATTATGGGATGGGAAAATTGGGTTTCAGTTCAGACTGTTTGAATGTACTTCAACCAACACTACGCTGTTTTATTCTTATATCAACACTACGCTGTATAAATTAGTTTCATTCTTCTTCTTCCACGGGAAAGAATAGAATTTCTGCTGGCCTAGTGTTTCAGTTCATTCTAGAGAAGCGGAAATATTCCCAGTACTAAAATTCCTGATTCATACTGGATTAGAAAACATTTTATTTGGTGGGAAACCAGTGGAGATAGAAGTATTTCATATTCAAGTTATTAGTATGAATATGACGACCATATTACATACATGAGACATCGAATTTATGAATCAACCATGACCAAAATCCACATGTTGTTGTTGTTGTTTCCTATAATTCCTAGAGGAACATGGGGCTTCAGCCGTCCGTCTCCATTGCGTTCGGTTCTCTGCTAGAGTTTTTACCTGGCTCCAAGTCTGTCCACATGCTTTCATCTCCTCTTAACATGACCTCCTCCAAGTCACCCTTGGACGATCAACTCACCGCTTCCCATTCGGGTCCCACTCGACGGCTTGTCTAGTGATGTCGCTTGATGGTTTCCTCAGAGTATGGCCAATCCATCTTCATTTCTTCCTGCCTATTTCTTTCACAATTGGTTCCTGGTTGGTTCGCTCGTTGCCAGAGATCTCTGTTGCTGATCTTTTCTTGCCGATCATTTGATCTTGAGTATTGAGCGAAGACAACTGTTAATGAAGGTCTGTAGTTTGTTTGAGATGCTCTTTATGACACGCCAAGTCTCTGATCCGTATAGTAGCACTGACTTCATACTGGAGTTGAAAATCCGGATCTTACTTTTGATGTTGAGTGCTGCTGACCTCCACACAGACTTGAGAGTAGAGAAAGCTTTGTCTTACTTTTCCGATTCTTGCTCTGATATCCTCGCCAGTTCCGCCTGTAGTTGAGACGATGCTTCCCAGGTAGGTAGATGAAGGAGGTTGTTTCTTTCAGGTTCCTATCATTTATGCTGATCGTTGTCTGTTGTTGTTGTTGTTCTTGTCCAGTAATTTTCATCACCTCTGTTTTCTCTATGTTCACCTGAAGTCCTATCTTTGATGCTTCTTCTGCCAACTTGTTGCTTTTCGCTTGCATATCTTCCAGTTTGTGGGAAATCAGACATATATCATTGGCGAATTCCAGATCCTCCAAGTTTTTTGTGTGAGTCCATTTTATGCCTGTTTCCTCATTGCCCACTGTTTGTCACATTATCCAGTCTACTGCAATCAGGAAAATCATTGGCGATAGTAGGCAGCCAGCTTGTCTTACTCCTGTACTCACTTCGAAGGATTCTGTGAGTTTCCAGTTGTGGATTACTTGGCATGTAGCATTGTCGTACAGCTGTTGGACGAGATGTATAATTGTCAGTGGCACCCCATAGTAGCGAAGTAGTTGCCAAAGCACCTCTCGATCGACGCTGTCGAATGCCTTTTCAAAGTCGGTGAAGTTGAGTGAGGTAGAGAGGTGACTGCCACTCCAAGCTTTGTTCAATGATGATCCGTAATGTGGCGATCTGATCAATGCATGACTTGTTTCTCCTGAATCCAGCTTGTTCCGGTCGAAGTTTTTCATCCAGGGCATGTTTGATTCTCTCCAGGATGATGCGGCTTAGTATTTTGCTTGGGATGGACAGGAGCATAATTCCGCACCAGTTCTTGCATTGACTTAGGTCTCCTTTCTTTGGTAGTTTGAATAAGTATCCTTTCTTCCAATCCTCGGGTACTTTGCCTTCTTTCTACACTTTCTCCAGTAGTGGCGTCATCAAGTCCGCTGTTGTCTCTGGATCAATTTTCAACGCTTCTGCTGGGATTCCATCTGGTCCTGCTGCTTTTCCAGAATTTAGCATCTTGATTGCCATCAGGACTTCTGATTTCGTCGGGGGGTTGGTGTTCACTGGTAGCTCTGTCTCCATCGTTGGTATTGTTGGGCGCGTTGTAGGTGGTGGTCGATTTAGAAGTTTCTTGAAGTGTTCAGCCCAGTGTTTCTTTTGCTACACTTCTTTGGTGAGTGACTTTCCATTGTCATCCTTCACCGGCTTTATTTGTGTCAAACGTTTGCCCGATAGGTACCTAGTTGTTTGGTAGAGTGTTGCGAGGTCTCCTCTGCCTGCAGCTTGTTCTGCTTCACTTGCCATGGCTTCATAATATTTACTTTTGTCTTCCCTGGCACTCTTCTTTACTCTTTTGTTCAGTGTTTTGTAGCTCGCATTCAAATCCTGTTTTTGTTGCTCGTGGGTGCACTGGAGAATCTTTTGATTCACCATCCCTCTCTCTTCTATCAGTCTCCAAGTGTCCATAGTGAGCCACTGTTTGTCCTGTCTCTTCTCTCTGCCCAGAACTTCCATGCAGGTTTGACTCCACACTGTTTTCAAGTTGTTCCAGTGCTTTTCGATGCTGACCTCTTTACCGGTGTTGATTTGTGTCTCGGCTTTGTCCTTCATGCTTGCAGTGAAGATGTCCTTTGCGTCCTGGTCCTTCAGTTTTTGAGTGTTGAACTTGGCTTGTGGTCTATCTGCAGCTCCTGTTTCTCTGAAAGCTTTTAATTTGATTTGGATTGTCCCTTGTACGAGATAGTGGGCTGAGCCAACGTCTGCTCCTCTTCTCACTTTTGTGTCCAGCAGGCTGTGCCTCTACTTCCTTGAGCACTATTGATATGAGATCAATTTGGTTTTTGGTTTGCCCATCTGGTGACACCCATGTAGCCTTGTGGATATCTTTGTGTTTGTATACGCTGCCACCAATCACGAGTTCATTGAAGGCGCAGAAGTCGGCGAAGAGTTCTCCGTTTTCATTCATTTCTCCGAGAGCTTCCCTATCCATGATGAGTTCCCTTCCAGTGTTGTCTGATCCCAGTTTGGCGTTCATGTCTCCCATTAGTATTTTAATGTCGCCGACTGGAGTATTGTCCATTGTCGCCTGTAGTTGTCTGTAGAATTCTTCTTTCTTTTCGAGGTCTGCGTTGTTTGTCGGTGCATAGCATTGTATAGCTGACACTTTCTTTCCTTTTGAGTTGAATCTGGTCATTATTCTGGACGAGATCGTCTCCCATTGCATCAGGGCCTTCGTTGCCGTTGGTGACATCATGATAGTCAAGCACTCGGTGTGCATGTGGTTATCCTCTGGGTGACCGGAGTAGATCACTGACTCACCCGTTGACAATTTGGTGAGTCCATTCCTGTTCCATCTGCTTTCACATATCCCCAGTACTTGAATTCCGTATCTTTTCATTTCGTTTGCGATCTTGGCAGTTTTGCCAATCTCGTACATGGTGTGGACATTCCATGTCCCCAAACAGACTTTTTCTTTTGGCGCAAGGAGATTCGTCGTACTGAAGTTTCTGTAGCAGCTTTGTTTACAGGGTGGGGTTGCTAGCCTCACGCCTGAGAAGTGGAGAGAGAAAAGGTCAGTGTTGCGTGATCGCACAGCCCAGGGGACAACTGCTTGAGGCCTGTTTTTGTTTGTTCTTTCTTGTTTAGTGTGTCTCAGTAGCATATTTATCACTTCTGCCCTGTGACACAGCAGCAGGAAGTGCGGTCGTTGTTAATCCGGGCCCCGACCGACCTGGGATGATATTTTGTGAGTTTGTTTGAATCATAGTATTGAATTGGGTAGATGCTTTTTGTCTAATCGCTGTCCAAACAACCTTTCTGGCATGATAGGACCTACAGGAACATACGTTCCAGCAAGTGTAGCTCGTTGGGTCATTGCGATATGCAAGTCCGACCACCACGTCAAAGTAGCAGCTATCAGTCAAAAAATCCACATGCAAACAGAGATTTGAAAATAAATGTGGTACAGAAACAGCTCATTCAGTCACAATGCCTTCTTTGTCTAGTTGTCGATGGAGTAGCCACATCATCCAAATGTGCTAAGTGACATCACACATCAGAATCTATATTCATTAAGGTTCAGGAAATTTCAGATATAATTTCTATCAAATCGTAACACTTTTCTAACCATCTCACAAAGTAATCATTTTCTTCATTTCATTATTCTAGAAATCTGTGTATCATGATTCTTCAAATCACGTTAACAGAGAATGTGTGTCAACCTGTGATGGTATACAACAAACCAGAGGAGTGACAGTGTACTGCTGCAGAGGCAATTTATGCAATTCAAGCTCGAAAAACACACTGAACGCAACATTTATTTATTCGATTCTTTTCATTGCTGTAACTACAATATTTTATAACAATTGAGAATAATTAAAAAATACATTATTGGTTCACATAAATTGAGATAATTCTTTCATGCGTTTCTTCTCGCTCCGACTGAAACATAGTGCATCAAAAACGAGAACTGAAATTTCATTAGCACTGGTTTTGTTATCGCTGTGTGTGGAGTACACCTGGGTCAGTGTTAGCTAATCGACGTTTAGCATTTAGTTGATCGTGTTGTCTCTGACTAAATCATGTTGGTGAGTGTAGGAACATATCCCAGGTGAATTAGAAGCTAAAGGTTTCAAGTGAATGAATTTGACGATTGTGTTAAACATTTTGCAGGGACGAAAATTCAGTGGTTTTCCATATCGAACAATGAGGATGTTTAGTTACTTGTGTATTTGGTTTATGACACCTAGACGTTTGTATGCTTGAGATCAACTAGTAGAAATGTAAGTCTAATTTAAAATTAATTCGCCTTTTCATCATAATTCAAGGTATGGTTAACTTGAATTATAAGCCATTCAGACAAATGTCAGTTTCTTCGAATATTCAAGATTTCCATCTGCCTATATTTTGTCCAGTTGTCTCGTTCGATGAAATTGACAGAGAAGTCAATCCAGGTGAACACAAATAAGACAGAAGAAAGTGAATCTTGCTGGAGTACGCTTAAAAATGGAAAAATGGTGTTACTTTTGTATTACTCCTGAGTTCGAATTTCTCCGAATGACGTTTTGATATATGAAATATCGAAATCCAGTTCACTGATATCACTTCTAGAAATGTGAATGGGTAGACAGTATCTTGGCAGGCGAAAATCAAAATCGATTAAGTGTTATAAGAATTTGAAGGTTGTGTCGGATGAAAACACTTGATATGAATGATATTTTCATTTGATTAGCACAATTATGAACAATCTTGTAAACGAAACGGCTTCACCACCTGCTTTTTAACCACAATGTGAATTGTCAAATGCTAATGATTTCAATCGAAGTATGATAATTGTAGACTGACTCATGTTGTCGTGTATTTGTATGCATGTGATAAATACAGGTGTGTTTGAGTGTGTAAGGTGTTAGTTGGAAACTCTCTCTCTCTCTTATCAGCTATTGTAGACTTGTACAGAGTCGATCAAGTGTTCACATGTTAGAGTGAACTACCAGGGCGCCAGTTGTGCGATTTCAGCCTGACTGAATAGTACATTATCAATTACACTATGTAAACCAAGACGATCTGTTATGATCTGATCAATTATTTCTGCAATATATGAATAACGTGTTCCAAACACCAATGAAGTGACTGATATTGAATTCCAGAATGATATTCCGCTCTCCACCAGATTCCGATGTCTTGGTGCTCACATCTACTAGTTAGTTGTTTTGATGAACTTCAATTTCTGATTCCCATCCACCAGCAACACTTTGAACCGATGGTTATCATTGTTTCATATAACCCCGTGATTGTTGAATAACACTGCATATCAGTGTACTGCCTATGATGATAATGAGGAGTAAGCAATCGTAGACGAATATATTTGTTCGCCCAATCTGTTCATTTTTCTGAATGTAAGAACCAATAGGTATGCAGAATCGGAAGGCACGCTTGCACTTTATGTGAAAATGTTGAAGACACAAGTGGTGGATATATGCAATAGTCATTGACGCAAAAGAGGAATCATCCTCATTGAGAAAAGTGTGAATGAGATCGTCATTCCTACATGCCTGTACTGGGCAACATTGTTTCAACTACAGGTGACACAGATGAAGTTATTAGAACTATTCTTTATGAGTGGTAGGTCAGAGAGGCGTTGAACACTTCGAAATTGGTATGAGCATTTGCAGGATATAGCACAAGGAAAATATTCGAATCCGGTATAAAATTGATGTCATATTAGTGCTTCTACATGTTTCACAGATTTCGTTCAATCAACATGAGAAATATTTGCAAATATCTGTTCAAACTTTCATCGAGGAACGTCTTCTCTTGATAGTGAGATTGCATCGTCGATTGGAAATGTTAAGAAATTGGGAACTCTGGAGATTAGCTACTTGGTAGGAACCTACTACTCGACAAATATGCATAATTTCAATTGTTAGATTTCCGTCAAGAAGGAATATCCGTGTGAGAGATCATTGACAATCAGAGAGCCCTGGTCAGATGTTTCTTTGGTGTTTTAAGACACTTGGGAAATGTGAATCCACAAACTCAAAACGGATCAAACTCAGACGACAAAACCAAGCCTGAGAATTATACATTCACTTTTGATGGAATCCAGTGGTCGTCGGATTCTAGCTTCGTCAACTGATGACATAGTGCTGCCTACATCAATAACTTTCATGAGTATTCCCTTTACTATGACACGGTGAACCTCACTCTCTAAGACTTCTCACCGCAGTTCAAGGAAATCTACTTAATAGCCATCGTTGAGCTGGGGACCGATAATCAGACTACGCGATGTAGATGGATTGAAAACACGCTGAGAGGACTTATGAGTGGTATCACACAGCGGGCAGTGATTTAGACGTCGAAGGGAGACACTGATGAAATCAAGTGAATGGGAATTGAGGGCATGTTGGCAGCAATAAAGACAGCTGTAATTGATAGTTGAGCAGCTTGTACAGTCGAGATTAGCCTCTAGAGCACTAAGTACTACTCAGAATGCAAGGAATGCATAAAAACAGGCTGGCTGAAGGTGGAATAGAATGTTCACATTCAACACGATTCCAGTTGAATTCATGTTTACAATAAAATCACCACAGCTGCTCTCTGTGTGTACATTATCGTATTCATTTAAGTTTCACGATCAACTTCTTACGGTCGGCCTATTGCTTCTTGCAACAACACAGAATTCATTAATAAAGGATTATTCAGATTCAGTATTTTGACCAATACAAGATGCATTGTTCTGTGTTGAAGTGTATATGCCAGTAATGAATTTGTAAGTGAAAGTTAGAGGAACCATTCACATTGTTGGCGAAAACAGATTTCCCACGAAATATTTCACTGAACATTGGCACTTCCTATCAATCGAGGAGTGTTTTAATTACATGCCTTCTTCTCTTTTGTGACTACCTTGTCCAGTTTACTGATTCGCTTTGTTTCTAACAGATCCTTATAACGGGAATAGATGGAGCGTTGGTCAGGGTTCTCGCAACACCATTCCACAATATCAGTCACGTTTTACAGAAAACTCAGAACTCACGCAAAATATTGAAAATATAAAACACACACTTATTTTTCACTGCAATCGGAGGGACGAAATGCAGCAGGCATGTGAAAGCATTCGGGAAGTCAGTCAACCCTTATGTCTCTATCCGATGAAAGCAAAAGTAAGAATGGGAACGTACAATGTTCGCACAGTGTATGAAGCTGGGACGGCTGCTTACGTCTCCAGAGAAATGAGAGGATATGGCACAGAAGTGCTAGGAATCTGTGAGAGCAGGTGGAATGGATGTGGACTATCGGAGTTGTCAGCTATATGGTCAGTAATCTATTCCATTGCCGTCACACAGAGGACAACCACGAGTACATTGAGTCAATGAGTGGCTGTCATGATGTCACCAACAGTACCCAGAGTTCGTATGTATTGAGAAGCGACCTCCTCTTGAAGGATTACCACAGCATGATCCAACTCAGAACGAGTGAAGGAACGAAGGTCAAAACTATTCAACACTACGTACGCACAAACAATTCAGAACAAGAGAAGAAGGTAGATGTCTATATACATCTGAAAATGAGTAATCGACATCATCATAAACTGGGACACCAGAATCATAATGAGAGACATGAATTTCAGCCGAATTAGGAGCAGAAAATACAGAAAGAAGGCCTATGATCTTCAGAGAGGTTATCACTCGACGAAATGAATGATAACAGAGAATTCTTCTCAGACTTCTCCGCCTTCAATCACTTGGTGATAGGAGGCAGCGTGTACAAGAACAAAGATATACACAAGGCGACGTCAGTTTCAGCTGACGGACACACTGACATACGCAGCTAGCCTGGTGTACACAGAATTGAGATGGGGAGCAGATGTGTTGGTCGAAACATTATCTGGTGTAAGGAACGTCCGACGTGAAGCTGAAATCCTGCGAAACAACTGGAGAGAGACCAAAGTTCTAGTTCAACACTCAGGAACCGAAACACAAATCTCCGAAAGACACGTTCAGCGCAGCTATCAGAGAAATGTTGGTGACACGAAGGGGCATCAGTGGGAAAATCTGAGTGGAAGAACATCGGAACACTGTGAAGATGATGTTCATGTAAATTTGTACATCCGTTTTAAGAAGAAAGAAGAGACACGAGAGGATGGGTGGCTTTCGACGGGCACCTGGATGCACATAGAAGAGAAGAGGATAGTAAGACGGAAGATGACTCAAAGCAGAGGTGGACAACAGAAAGTGAGGTGGAGTTCAGTGTACATCTCACTGAATTGAGGAGTGAAGAAAAGTGCTATGAAATATAGAGGACGATTGTATCACTGAAGAACAGGCAGATTGTAGGTGAAAGAGAGCTGAGAACACCATATCAGGTAAACAGGTCTCCATCCTAAATATGATCGACGCTGATGAAAGCAATACAAGATGTTGAAAGGAACATAATTACCAACGAGGAGAGACAAATGAACAATGCACTGATCGCTTTGAAAGGCACTCGAATCGACCATCAACTGCAACTCGACCGGAAATATCATCAACAGTGAGCATAGAGGTGCTAGTGGACACTAAGCCTCCGACGAATACGGAAATCTTGGATGAGATCAGAGTAGTACAAGGCAGCTAAGAAGGTAGCAGGACCATATGGATTTCCTCCCGACGCGATGGAAACGGACCCAGATTTCACAGTGGATATTCTGACGCACACCATTGCAAAGGGTGTGGAAGGAAGAAGTGGTATCTGTGAATTTGTGTTAAGACTACTTTGTGGAAATACCAAGGAAGCGTGACGTGGTACTCTGCAAAAGCTGGCGCAGAACCGTAATCTTGTCCTCGTCAAGTAAAATATGAAGTCGCATCATACTGGAGAGAACAATGGATGTGCTGCACACAGAACTCCGCCCACCGCAACAAGCTTGATTCAGGAAAGACAAATCAGGTGCTAATCAAATTGCAACTCTACACATCATCA